GACAGCAGCCACTGGAAAGAGAAGAAAGTTGAGGGGCAATGAGTTTATATTAATGGAGAAGGAATTAATTTTCAAAAAGAACATTACGATGGTTACATAACTAGAAGAATGTAATCAATGTCTATGAGCTATACATATAGAAATACATGTACACTGTATATAGTCCTGATATGCAGTATATATATGCACTGTCCCAATAGCAACAACAAAAAATTATTAAAAAGAGAGTATTGAGGGTATATTTAGCCCTTTGCTGTAGTATGTGATTTACAGCAGGTGCTCAGTAAGTGGTATTTACCATGTTCTTCAAGCTCAGAATGCTTCTTTGGTACATAAACATGACAGTATGATGGTAGAGCATTGGGCTTCTAGATCTAGGATATTCCTAATCTTGAGAAATTAAGTAATGTTCCAAGAGGTATGGGAAGCCCCAGGACAACAAAAGCATCTTCCTCTACTATCAGCTGTGCTTAATGTATATGTATGTATGAAATATATATAGTATATATATGCATATTGTTATTGCTGTGTATCATTGAGTCAGAACTGACCCATTGTTGAACCTCCAGCAAGTTTTCAGAGGCATTAAATTTCACAGAAGTTGATTGTCCATATTTCTCCCATAAAGCAGCTTGTGGATTTGAACAGTGTATTTTTGTGTTGACAATGTAATCCCATGTGTGTGTGTGTGTGTGTGTGTGTGTGTATGTTGTTGTTATTTACTATCAAGTTGAAACTCATAGCTGACCCTCCAGTGGGTTTTCAGAGGCAGTAAACCACATAGAAGGAGATTTCCTATCTCTTTCCTGTGGAGTAGCTGGTGTGTTCAAATCTCACACCTTTGGGTTGGCAGCTCAACTCCTTACCACTAAGTCACTAGATATATATGTATATAGTTACACATACATATGGAGCTCCACTGCCAACCCGAAGGGATGTGGTTCAAATCCACCAGGGGCTCCACAGGAGAAAAATGGGCAATCTCCTCCAGTGTGATTTATTGCTTTTGAAAACCCTCTAGTGGGTCAGCTAGGGTCAGTTCTGACTCAATGGTACACCACCACCAGCATAACAACAATACACATACATACAACAACATATGTATTTGTGTGTATATGTATATGTTGTATGCATATATATGTGTTGTATGTGTGTGTGTGTGTGTGTGTGTGTGTGTACACACATACCCTTGCTATAAGAATAAGAGGTATCATCTTTCATGTAGTAAAGCCAGATTTGGTCATGCCCTGATACCACCACCTGTCTGTCACTGGAGAGGTGAGTGTTGTTACAATGCTGAATAGGCATCTGAGAAGCTTCTAGATCCCAAGATGAACTAGAAGGACATGGTGAGCCACTTTCGAAAACTCAGCCAAAGAAAACCCTATAGCTCACAATTCTCTGGTCCCACTGAGCACAGGGTCATAGTGACTCAGAGATCTGACAAGATGGCAGCTAACAACCTTCTTAGACTAAGCCCGAACTGACTGCATCACAGAGTGAGCATATAACTGTAATGAGAGTGTAAGAGAATGCTTAAGATGAAGAACAGATGTCATTACACTGGCAGACCACACCCTCCCTGCCCACTGCAGAGGCTGGAGTGGGCTTGTTACCTTCCTTCTTGCTGACAGGAGTATTTCAAGACCCGAGGTGTGGAAAGAGCCCGAACCTCAAATCAAGTGTTGTGGTCTCCTTTCTGAAAGACTGAAAACCACTCTTGCCTCTCTTTCAGGGTCTGTTTCCTCCTTGGTGAAAAGACAGGGATTTTCTAACTCGTCTATAGAAGTCCCCCAACTCTGAACCCACTAGAATGAGTCAGAAAATATTTCTTGAGTGAATGGAAGGGGATCTATCATACACTAAGAATTTCATACTTCCTAACATTCCTTCTTGTGCAGGGCAATTTGCAAGAAAATGGAATCTTTTCTTACAGGCTGCCAGCCCCAAACACACTTATTAGCATGGTGCCTTTGAAGGAAGATGTCGCATTTGAATCTAGGAGAAAACAAAACCCAATGACGCTAACCTGGGCAACGGTGGAAATTTGCTTCTTTGCTTCTTCACCTGGGAAAAAGCTCTGAAGTCCAGCAAGAAGAGGTGCCTCGGTGGGAGCAGAAAAGGCACAGGCTATCCACTCAGCTGCACTCCTCTTTCTCAGCGCTAGGGGCGCAATCCCCAGCAAAGGCCTGACGCCCACAGGCAAGGAGATGTGGAGAGAGATGCCTGACTGCAGGATAGCTCATTCTCCTGCCCTCTCCCCAAGGCATCTCTCCTGCATAAGCCACCTGGTTCTTATAGACACTTGCTTGTCTACACTCAGAGTTTGTGACCAATGGTGCTTAATTACAGGTGTCCACTTTGTACTTTTGAATGTGGATATTATACCCTTTATTCCACCCGTGAGTCTTTCCCTTCTAATGTTTCTTCACTGTCTTCCATAACCCACTGCTCCTCTTAATAAAATTTCCACGGCACCTTCCCATTCTCCCTCCTCTTTCCCTTGTCTCTTCCGTCTGTCCAGTTCCAAGCCCCGAGTTAAATTGTGTCTCCTTTCCAAGTCTCAGCTCCTTCCAAACCACTTTATAAGCACATGAAAGCCAGAGCCGCCACAGTCATTGCTACTGGCATCTCATTGTGCTTCCAGAGGACGCTGCCCAAGGAGACCATGAGAATCCAAGGCAGTGGCGAACCTGGTGATCCCGGAGAGAGCCTCTAGGATCAAGGTGGTGCCAAATATGTGGAGGTGGGGGCCTTTAGAAATATCAGTAGGAATTGAGAGGCAGCACACTTCCACAACAAAGCCCAAGGTTTCAGGGGTAAGTAACCTAAAAACAAATTTCCCTAGAGGCCGCAGGGAAACCACCAGGGTGGTAGGCTTTGAAGCCAGGCCCAGGCTCTTCCCACCATCAAATTTCCTTCTTCTTTCCTTTGTTTCAAGGGCTGGGTGCTATTCCAGTTCCTTTTTGACACCTGTCTTAAGGCTTCTGGCCCAACACAACTTCTGCTTCCCAGAATCCTTTTCTAGTTGCCCTTCCCATACAATCTAACACATTCTGACCAGCCAAATCCTTTGGAGTTTAGAGGAGCCAAGTTCAAATCCAGACCACTACCTGTGACTGTGTCACTTAACTTCTCTGAGCCTCAATCGTTGCCTGTAAAACTTCTCTCTGGGTCATTTTGAAGTTTGCTGTCACTACTGTTATCATCATTATTTCTGATCCCAAAGCCTAAATCCTGCCACCCCACCTCTCTTTAGTATAAAGAGTCCAGGCAAAACTATGGCTTTTACTCTCTTAATGCTCCCTGACTGAGTTTAATAAATACTTGCTGCATAGAATTAACCATAGACTGAACTGTCTTAATGACCCAGCTGGCACTTGTTAAAAGAAAAATTAATTTTGCTAGTGGTAAGTCAATCGGCCATGTAATTATCTGTACATACAGAGACAAAGAAAGAGAATGCCTGGAATTCAGCTAGGCTACACTACACTACCTCACAGGGATCTCTGGTGGGCTAGTTCTAAGGAGCTGCACTGCTAAGCTGAAGGACTGAGGTTCGAACCCACCAGATGTTCCACTGGAGAAAGATGGGCAATCTCCTGATTTACAATCAGAGAAAACCCTTTGGAGGGTCAGCTATGAGTCAATTGGACTTGATGGCACTCAGGAACAATACCTCACACTCACAGCCCCTCCCTGGCCCCCTGAAAGACATAGTCCCAGTTTAATGGGACTCTGGCAACCCTGGCTCCAGGATCACTCGGTTGCCCAGGCTCCTCTCTGCCCCTCTGAGGCTCATGTTCCTGACCTGGGAATGTGAACCATAATAACTGTTTGGATTTTCCCCAGACTGACTGGCAGAAACAGAAGCCTGCAAGGATTGAGTGGCCCCGTGCTTCCAGCATGCGTCTCCTGCCGCACTCCAGCCCCAGGCTGATGCCCCGGCCATCCAGGACCTCTACTGGAAGCTAGTTAAAATTCCCGCAAGTGGTAGGGCACTCACTGACTGAGGCGAACTGTAAAAGAGCTCCTAAATCCAGGGTCCACAGCACAGTCATAAGTGATAGGGACTCCGCTCCGCTTTCTGCAAAGATCATTGCTAGCTACCCTCACAAGCTCAGCTGAAACCATCTTGCCAACAGCCCCTGCTTTTGCCTCAATCTCTGCCCTCAACCTGCTGTTAACTTAGCATTTTCCCCAGCCCCAGCCCCTGCTCCTGCTTCAGGGCCTGTCCCAGCTGTTGGCCCAGCCCCAACCCTTACCCCAGCCCCTTACACCAGCCTCTACCCCAGCTCCTGCCCCATCCCCTACCTTAGGCCCTGTCTCAGCTCCCTACCTCGGCCTCTACCCCAGCTCCTGCCCCAACCCTCACCTTAGCCCCAGTGTCCGCTCCCTACCCCAGCCCCTAAACCACCAGGACCCCAGCTCCTATCTCAGCCCTAGTCCCTGCTTCTCGCTCAGCCCCTACTTCAGCCGTTGTCTGCCTTTCCCTTGATCTCTGGTCCTTACCTGCCTCATTCTTTGCTCCAGCTCGTGCCCCAGCCCTGGTCCCTGCCCAGCCCTGCCCTTGCCCCAGCCCCAGCCCCTGGCCCAGCTCTTGCCCCTGCCCCCGACTCTGCCCTTCCCCAGCCCGCCTGGGCTCCCAGCGCCCTTGGGCGCAGGAGCCTGTTAGTCCGGACACCGGCTGCGCGCATCCAAGAGTACAGTTACTTTCTGCCATGTGCTCCGCTCTAGCGACCTCACCCAAAACGGCGCGCCGGCAGCCCGCCCTTGCAACTTTTCTTCTCTCTTCTCCTTTTCCTTTCAACGCAACGATGCTTCCAACCAACAAACTCACCAACCAACAGGATCCTACAAATATCAGCCCAGTTTTCCTTAACCAAATCCGAATCACTCAGCGCCCATCTGACTCGAGGTCCCAGGTCCAAGTCAGCTTAGAAGGCTGCGGAGCGTCCTAGACACTCCTGGTCCCTCGGTCCCGCACGGCAGGTACTCACCAATCTGTGCCAGGCTCAGCGGCACGATAAGGCAGAGTCCCCAGCCTGCGCGCCACCAAAACTTGTTCATGTTGTTATCTGAGTGAAGGGGAGACTGTGTGAGCAGAGCTGGAGAGTCCCGGGGCACAGAGCGGGGGCCAGGGGAGGACGGAGCGAGGAGGGCAATCTGAACCTGTCAGAGGCTGGGGTCCGGCTGGGCAATGAGGCCGCCTCGGAAGCTGGCTGCAGTTTTTATTCCAGGGCTTAGAGAATGACCTAAGAGGGAGGGAGGGAGGAGGGAGCGAGCGAAGGACACACCCAAGCGAGGGGGCTGTGACTAAGCAGCCTTCGGAGGTTTAAAGACGTACCAGCCCTCCTCTACGCTGCCCCCTGCCCCCGCCCCGTTCTCCACGAGAATGTCAATCAGAGCTGCCCGCACTGAGTCAGGTTCTTCCACTTCACCTCCTGTCCCAAACAGCACTGATTGCCTAAACTGCGTAAGCATGGGCGGGCACTGAGTCCTGGAATCTTGCCCGTTAGGTCTCCCGCCTCTCGCTTCTCCAGGCCCCACAGTTTCGCTTTGAATCCCACTGGAAAATGGTTCCTTGTAGGTTTCAAACAACTAGGTAGACTGGGAGATGAGCCGGGATAAAGGTGAGGACCAGCACTCCATGGTGCTTTCCTGCCCACGAAGAGGGATGTCAGGGGGGCTTGCGATTCTCCCTGGAACAGGAAAGCAGAGCACATCCCTCTTCTCTTCAATGAGAAACAAAGTCCACAGCGTTCAGGTGGAACTTTCTTAATCTTGCCAGGACAGCCCAGAAAAAGTTAGGAATGTCCAGCCATTGGGTGATTGTCTCCACCAACTCATGTATTCATCCATCCACCCAATCATGGTCTGCTCAAGCACTCAGTCATTGTCCCAAAGATTCATTCATTCATTCATTCACCTCTCCACTCATCTTTCATCATGCTGGCAGCCCACAATTATCCTTCCTCCCTCCTGCCCATCCATTAGCCAGTCTTACCTTCATTCATCTCTTCCACTTTCTTTCAACTTTTCACACAAAGATCATCCATCTTTCTTTCAGCCATTCATCCAAACACACATCTCTCCATCTATCCAATCTGGTCCTGATCTTTGACTGGCTCTAGTCCCTGCTGCAGCTCCAGCTCCAACCCCTGCTCAGCTCTGCCCTTGCCCTAGCCCCTAGCCCACTTCCTGTCCCTGCTCCAATCTTGCCCTGCACTAGCCAGCTGACTCCCTGCGCCCTTGAGTGCAGGAGCCTTTTAGTACAGACACCACTGGCTGAGCACATATTCTTTCACTCATCCTACCATACATCATCTTATGTATTCTTTCACTGATTGTATCTCTCATGTCTTCATAAACTCACATTGACCTATCTACCATCCTTTTCTCTGTCAATTATACCTGATATTGTTATTATTTGCTGTCAAGTCCCTTGCGACTCATAGTACAACAGCTCTAAATCCTGCTCTATCTTGGGCCACCCTTGTTGTCTCTGATACACCTACTCCCACTACTCCAGCCATGGAATCAATCCATCTCATCCAGGGTCTTTTGCTGTCCTTCCACCCTTCCAAGCATTGTGTCCCTCTCCAAGGACTGGTCCCTCCTTGCAATTATACTTGTTGTTGTTCTTATTATATGCTGTCGAATCACCTGGGACTCAGCAACACTATGTACTGTAGCTCTGAATCCTGCCCTGTCCTGAGCCAATCTCACTAATTCTGACACATCAATCCCCACTGTCCCAGTTACTGTATCAATCCATATCATCCGGGGTTGTCTTCTCCTGTGCTGTCCCTCCACCCTTCCGAGCATGATGTCCTTCTCCAAGGACGAATCTCTCCTGGTCATGTGCCCAAAGTATAGGAGATGAAGCTTCAAAATCCTAGCCTCCAAGGAGAAACTTGGTTTCATCCTCTCCAAGATAGACCTATTCGTTTTCTTGGCAGTCCATGGTATGTCCAACACTCTTCTTCAGCACCACAATTTGAAGGCATTAATTCTTCTTCTGTCATCTCTGATGCATAGCAAGTAATTGCAAAGACCATGGTCTGGATTAGGAGTACCTTGGTCTCTAGACTGACACCATTGGTTTTCAGCACTTTGGAGAGGTTCCTGACAGCAGATTTTCCCAATGCAAGTCATGTTTTGATTTCCTGACTACTGGTGTTAAGAGTGTTGATTGTGGGGCTGGGTAAGCTTTAATTGTTAACAACCTCAATCTCTTCTCTATCTTTCATAGTCCTGCCAATTGGTCCAGTGGTGAGAATCTTTGTATTCTTGATGTTAAGCTTCAATCTAAGTTGGAGACTACAGTCCTTGACTTCCTGGAGCAAGTACTTCAGGTCTTTTTCAGTTTCAGCAAGCAAGGGTTTGTCATCTGCATAATGTAGGTTGCTGATGAGTCTACCTCAAATCCTGATGCTACATTCCTCCTCATAAAGCCCTGCTTCATGACCTATTCTGTATACAGATTGAAAAGGTATGATGATAAAATGCATCCCTGACACACTCCTTTCCTGATTTTGACTCAGGCAGTGTTGCCCTGCTGTGTTCTGAGGACTGTTTCCTTGTCTAAATATAGGTTTTGCTTAACCACAATCAAGTATTCTGGGATTCCCATTTTCCTCAAGGTTAGCCACAATTTGTTGTGATCCACACAGTTAAATGCATTTACATAGTCAATGAAACACAGACAGACATTTCTCTAGTACTCTTTACTTTCTGCCAAGATCCATCTGACATTGGCAATATTGTCTCTAGTGCCACGACTTAATCTAAACCAAGCTTGTATTTCTGGTAGTTTTCTGTCAATACTGTTCCAGTAATTTCTGGATGATCTTCAGCAGAATTTTCCTATTAGTGATATTGTTCAAAAGTTTCCACACTCTGCTGGGTCACCTTTTTTAGAAATGGGAAAAAATATCAATCTCTTTCCCTCAATTGGCCAAGTAGTTGTCCTCTAGATTTCTTGGCACCACCTGGTGAGCATGTCCAGGGTCGCATCTGTTTGTTGAAATATGTAAATTGGTATTCCAACAATTCCTGGGACTTTATTTTTTGCCAAGTCCTTCAGAGCACCCTGAACTTCCTTCATCTTCATTGCCTCTTGATTATATGTTGTGTCTTAAAATTATTCTGTCAGCCAATTCTTTTTGGTACAATGACTCTTCATAGTCTTTCCATCTTCTTTTAATGCTTCCTGAATAATTCAATAATCTGCCTATAGCATCTTTAATCATCACAACTCACGGCTTGAATTTGTTCTTCAATTTCTTCTGCTTAAGAAATGCTGAGCGAATTCAGCCCTTTTGAGTTTCTGATTCCAGCTCCTTTCACATTTCATTATAGTACTTTGCCTTGTCTTCCCGAGCTGACCTTTTAAATCTTCTATTCAGCTCCTTAATGTCTTTATTTTTTCCCTTTGCTTTGGCTTCTCTACACTCTAGTACAATATCCAGAGTCTCTTCTGATATCCATTTTTTCTTCCTTCTTTGTAATGACTTTTTGCATTCTTCATGAATGATATTCTTGATATCTTCCCACAGCTCATCTGGTCTTCACAATTATACTTACATATCTATTAATCTACGTATCCATCAATTGTCCATCCACTGTCTATGTACTCTTTTTTAAAACCTATTTTTAATTCACCCATACTTTCTTGTTCCCATTCTAACTCATCTGTGCAAATGTTAATCCATTGCTTCACATTCAACCCATAGATCTGGCAGCCTGTTAATGCACGCAATCAAGTCAGAACCGACCCATAGAGGCAGTAAAACACACAAGAGTGGATTGCCCATATTTCTCCCAGGGAGTGGCTGATGGATTTGAACCATGTATTTTTGTGTTGGCTGCATGACTCCTTATCACTAAGCCACCAGAGCTCCCTCCGTGCTGCTCGCCTAGTGGTAAGGAATTGAGCAAATCTAAAGGCTTGCAATTCAAATCAATTGCTCCACAGGACAAAGGTGGACATTCTCTTCCTATACTATTTACAGCCTCTGAAAACCCACTAGAGGGTTTTTCCAACTCAATGGCACATAGCAATAACAATTTATTAAATATCAAATTTAATATTTAAATTTATTAAATTTAAATTTATTAAATATCAAAGAGAAATGTGTCATAATCTTCAGTACGCAGACATTTTTAATTTGAAAACTTATATTTCACCTTATCATTCATATGACAATTGCTATAGAGACTGATTGTCAGAGTAAAACTGCTCCTCAGGGTTGACAATGGTGGCTTTTCAGAAGTAGCTTATCAGACATTTCTTCCAAGGCAACCTCTGAGTGGATGAGGACCGCCCCCCCCCCCCAGCCTTCTAGTGTGTCATTGAGAGCATTAAGTATTTATAATATACTATGATTTAATATTTGGAAGTCAAAATGCTTATTTTAAAGAGGAACTACTAAAAGTAAAGCTAAGTGAACTTCTTGCCTGCTGAAATACACAGAATATGATATTGACATTCAGTGGCTGGGGTATAACAATGAAGCACCCATACTAGAATTTCTGAAAGAAGATTGGGTTTTGTTATTGACTAAAATAACTTGAAAAGTTGAGAGAACAAAACCATTCATTAAGGTTAAATTGTATGTCACTTTCTCTGCCCATGATTCTCTGGTTTGGCAGATGTCCTATAGTCATTCACTTGATAAAAATCTGATATGATCACTTCCATGATGAAATATACTACAAGCAGCCAATCAATCAGTTGAAAGAGCATCTTCGCAGAGATGTGGCCTGTGTTGATTATGTGTAGATGTTTTGGCAAAGTTTTCTTGCTTTTGTTCTATCGGAATCCTATGTGAAGCTTATCAACAACTGACCTTCAATCTACGGAATTGAGTCAGCAACCTGCCGTATTACCTGCCAATCTTGAGTTCATCAGACCCTACAGATACATGAGTCAGGAGAGGCCTCTAGCCTGCCATCTGACCCTGAAGGCTTGAGACTTGCCAACTCTAAGGGTATGAGACATTTCTTCCTTAAAATAACTCTCCTTCCCTTCCCTCTCAACATATATGCAAATACATATAGTTGTA